TGAGAAATGCTTTCCTATGGACACCTTGAATGCGTGTGCGGCACTTGCCGCGCATGCGCATTTGGCTCCTGTGACGTCGGACAGGGGAGCTGACGTCGGTGGGGGAGGAGAGGTCACCAGCGCAGAGGGAGCCCGGCGCTGGATTAAGGTAAGATGCTTTGTTTTCCTGACACTATAGTGATCCTTTAATTTCCCTGAAGGTGAATACAAGAATTAAAGATGCTCAAAGAAGTGTTTCCCTGATAACAGACACAGAGAGCACAGACTGTATCTGTGCCAGTCGGCACAGTGTGAATTGACTGACAGAAAGGGGATAGGCTGTTTTATAATCTCTCATTTTAAAGAAATATAGATATTTACGATCAATTCTGATAGCACAATGTAAAGATTAAATTTGATTCTCTACCATTTTAAATTAAGTTGTATTTGCCGTGACAGGTTCCATTTAAGGTTTATTTGAAGGTAAAATTTAATGAGCCCCTCATCTGCATTTGTCATGTTTTACCCCAATGGCAAGGCCTGAAAATGAAGCTTGAAAAAGAATCACAGAATGGAGCTTTTTATTGAACAAACGGGGAGTTGTAGAGATGGGGAGAGAAACAGGACTTGATGCCTTAGGAAGCTACTGGTATGACTGCTTATTCAGATTGTTTAGGTAAGCATTATAATATTAATGGGGAGTCAAGAGGTGAAGGGACAATTAGGGGGAAAATACATGTTTTTTTAATATATTTTTCTTTACTATGCCCTGCAGGTATTTATATAACTTACCTCCCATGATGTTTTCCTTTAGCACCCTGGCATTGAAACGGTCGCACATGTCTGAGCATTGGTACTAAAATCTACAGCAATTGTCTATGAAGTGGTGGTAAATTCTGTGGTCTGGACTAATTCCCAGAAGAAAATCATCTTTAATCTGATATGAACGTTTTAAATTCGGAGGGCAGGATTTTTGTTCATTTTGATTTGTCTAGTGGAGAAATAACATTGTAACACATTCACTGTACAAGTACTTTGCTGCATTATTAAATGTATCATTTTTTTAAGTGCCTTGTCTTTTGGCTCCATGGGAGTAATGCAATGACTCAATGTTTATATTACATTGATAAAATTGAAGCCTTTTAATATTCTATTTACCCAGATAAATAAATATTTGTTTTCATTGCTACATACAGTGAACTGAACTTTAAATGTAATTACCAGTAAACCAAAAATTGTCGGGTTCTACTTTTGACAATCAGGATTAAATATAGGTGAGAATGAGCATTTTAACAGACAATGTGTTACATTACACTGTATGTTCTGTCAAAAATGTTTATAATAAACTTTTGTACGTCTTTTTAAATCAATCCTAGTTAATATTGTTAAAGGAGCACTTCAAGCACATAACTATTAAAGAGCTTTGTAGTGGTTATGGTACCAGAGCTTCTGGCTCTAAGAACCGGAAAGGGCAGGCACTGTTGCCTGGCGGACCAGGTAAGAAGGTAAACCTTTAGTAAATGAGTTTACTGCTTGCATTGGGGTCACCAGGGCTCTTCTGGCATTATAACCAAATAACCACTACAACATGTGTCCCTTTAATTTGGTTTTGCCATGTCTAATAACGTATATCTGTCTATCTTTCTTTAGTGAGAGCAATGCCCCATTAAAGCCAATATAGATTTATAATACAAAAACTGCAAAATAAGTCATAATAAAAGACAATGATATTGAAAATTGTGATGGGAAATTTTGATTTTCAAAGGAAAAGGGTTTTTTACAGTAAGAACAATACAGATGCGGAATTCTATTCCTGAAGAGGTGGTTTTATCAGAGTCTTTACAAATGTTTAAAAAGGAATTGGACAAATACTTACAAGAACATAATATTCAGGGATTTTTTTTCTTTTCAATCACTGGGGTAATAGCTTCTTGATCCAAGCAGATACCATTCTGGGGTCAAGAAAGATTTTTTTCATAGTTTGTTGCAAAATTAGAAAGCACTTAAAACTAAATTTTTTGATTTCTTTTGAATTAACAGCAAAAACAGATGTTGGAAATGCTGAACTTGATAAACGCGTGTCTCTTTTCAGCTATGTAATATTACCAAATATTTTAAGACAAATATTAATATAATAATATCGATACCTTTCATTTAACACTACAACATGACACTTATACATTATTTAATTGGAACGCCTAAAATCATAACCAGTATAGCTTATTGTTGGGATTATGGTGCTAGGAGGTTATAGGATGGGTAAATCGCTCCTGTTTGTTTGTCAAACATAATGAGGATTTTAATTTACTTTTTATGAATACAAAATTAGCTTGGGCCTTGCAGTGAAAGGTGGTAAGCACTATGGTATGGGAGATATTGCTCTGCTTAATTATGTTTAATGCATTCAGTTATTATTATTTTAATTTATATAGTGCCAGGAAATTCTGTAGCACTGTACAATGGGTGGACTAACAGATAACCAGACAAGTGGACACAAAGGAACATAGGTGTTGAGGGCCCTGCTCAATGAGCTTACATGCTATAGGGAGTGGGGTATAGTGATACAATTGGTATAAGTAGGGGTAACGAAGTAGGTTGCTAGAAAAGTATTCACTGAGGACTTAGTGGGTTATTTTTGAAAGTTGCAAGAGAGGAGTCAAGGGGGTTTGGGGAGAACATCTACTAACAGTTTAATTGATATGCTTTCCTGAAGAAGTGTCCTTTCAAAGATTTTTTTAAGGTGTGGAGACTAGGTAAAAGTCTAATAGAGAAGGAAATGGAGTTCCACAGAAAAGGTTCCTTGCTATACACATATTTAGTATGATAATAGAATGGAAACGTCCTTGCAGTGATATTTCTAGGAGAGAAATGGACTTGCGGTGCTTTAAAAATGTTTGACAAAAACCAGAGGAACTAATCTCAAAGCCTCTTAACGCCAGAACCTCTAGGATAAGCAGTAGTGGCCATGGTGCATGAATTGTTCAACCTATTTAAACCCATTAAATATCTTAGTCTGTCTGTGCAGAATAACCAAGAACTAAATGTGTTCTATTTGCACGAGAATTGGAAACAACATTGTCTTTAACTACCATGATGGAATTAACATGATGATGATTAAATATAATTTAAGAAGGGGTTTAACAAAAAAGCCTTTTGGTTCCCAGCATGGCAACAGGTATAAATGAGTGTGCTGCTGTCTTGAATATTCATTGACATGTGCTGTTTTATCAGCATGTCTTGGTTTAATGCAGAACAAATATATATTTTCCTTGGGTGACTGGAGAAGAAAAATTACTATATTCATTCCTAGCCAGCAACCTTGGGAGTAAACTGTACTTTAAACCAACACAGACAGATCCAAACCACAGAGAGCCTGGAATTTGGGGTTCTCAGTGGTTGATTGGAGAAAGGGTCATAGCTAATTGTGTCAGGAGTTATATCTTGGTTACATTATGAGCACAATACACAAATCACAAGTATATTATTATAACAAAGTAAGCTGTAGATAGCAGTTTTAATATGTGTCCATTTATTATTTCAGTTTAACTTGCTCTTTTGTTTGACAGTTTTAATCGTAAAGCAGGTAAATCATTACTCATTTCTATGCATTTTCAAACACTTTGGTTATCATCTGAATTGTATTCTGTGCTCATACCATATAAGTAATAGTTTTTTTTATCTTGGAGCTAGAAGCTAGGAAATGACCAATTAAGGCTGAGTGACTTAAACAAGGGAGTTACTTCCTACCACAAATTTAACTCCTACAGTTTAGCCCAGTATTATTATATTATTGCTTATGATGACTTGCTCTTGATAAGAATGGTCAAGGTCTATAGAAAATAATTGACTTGAACTGTATGTAGATTGACAGTGAAATGTTTCATAACAACGCCAAAAATATGGGCCGCTGAGAACAATTATAATTATTTCTCAATTCATTAATCTTTACAATTAGATTTTTTTTTTTTGTATAAATTTATTTTGATGAAAGTGAATGGGGTTCCAACAGATAATTAATATTAGAAAATTACTACACTATAACTATCATATCAACGTCAATCCCGGATATTATAAACCAAAAAGAATAAGTACACGCATATCATAAACTTTGCAAATAAGCATAGGTAATTGTTACATTTTAGGAGCAAAATATGTTAATTGTGGTTTCCCAGAGTCGAAAGCAATCTCATGGAATGAGTTTCCTGATTATTCAAGATAATCCGCAGTGACTAATACTAGCGACTATTAAGTGCCCAAATTATTTTCCGACTTCTCTACAAGTCCTTTGTAAAGGACGGTATCATTCAAATCTTTCAAAGTGGTGCATATCCGCAGATCAGAAAAGAAATACCACCACAAAGCAGTCCAAGATGGCGGATAAGACAAGGCTCTGTTCTCTTCTTCACGCACATCATTGGATGCTGAATCCATGCACGCTTTATCCAACGCGAGCCCTGTTTCCAAGAAATGACCAGTTTCTATGTACATCGCTGAGAATTATCCTGTCTGGAGATTTTATAGATATTATGGCAGAACTGCACAAATAAATCAAAGAATTGTTCAAACGCACTGATGTCTTGGATGGTAAAACATATGAACTCTGAAGACCATCAGCCACTCAAGTGTAAGTAAACAAATTTGGAAGACCATTCCCATCATAACAACGCATGCATCTGCAGACGTCCAGCTCCATAACACAACATTTTATCAGGAGGAATTCTATGGTGAGGAATTCTCTTGGTTGATCCATAGTTGTGGTCGAATGGTGAGCAAACATGAAATGTGTGTGGAATGTCACCGTCGTATTCCACAGAGATTGGGCTTTTACAGTTGAGTCAAAATATGGAGAAGAAGATGGCCGACTCTTAATTTTATGGCATTAACATTGCACTGATTAATGTTTCTGCCTCTATTCTCAATTGATTTTTTTCCAGAATTTTTCTTTTTTAATTATATTTTTAAATTTGGTAATCTAATAATCTCCATGGAATTTAAATGTGTATTAGATATGCACCTTCATTTTCAATGAATGGGACATAAACCTAGATGTGGTCAAGTTAAGTTAGGTCAAAATTTGTCTAAACTGTTGCATGGGCACAATTTATTTGATATGTGGAGGTCTCTCCAACCATCACTTCAAGATAATCCTTCTTGTTAATTCCCTCATCTCACTTGCACTAGAATTGATCTGTATATTGTAGACAGTAATACCAGCTGATGTAAGTGATTGAATTATACGTTTATTATGGCTGAACTAAACAAATAAATCAAAGAATTGTTCAAGCGCACTGATGTCTTGGATGGTAGAGCATATGAACTCTGAAGACCATCAGCCACTCAAGTGTAAGTAAACAAATTTGGAAGACCATTCCCATCATAACAATGCATGTATCTGCAGAATTCCATCATCCATAACACAACATTTTATCAGGAGGAATTCTCTTTGTTGATCCATGGTTGTGGTCAAATGGTGAGCAAACATGAAATGTGTGTAGAATGTCACCATCGCATTCCACAGAGATTGGGTTTTTACAGTTGAGTCAAAATATGGAGATGAAGATGGCCAACTCTTAATTTTATGGCATTAACATTGCACTGATTAATGTTTCTGCCTTTTCAATTAATTTTTTTTTCAGAATTTTTCTTTTTTAATTATATTTTTAAAGTTGGTCATCTCATAATCTCCATGGAATTTAAATGTGTATTAGATATTGTGACGAGACCAATCTCGCCACATTGCATTGGAGAAGCCTGGTTGCTCACCTGTTGCCTTTGGATTATGGCCCCATGTTAAAAGGCTTGATTTTTCCCTGCAAAGACATGAAAGCTGGGTCATTTGGTGCTTGCCCTGTTTGAGCGGTGATACCCCAGATAGCTATGCCATGGAGCCCATTCGTATAATGAAAGACTATGGGAAAGACTTTGGCTCCATGGCAATTGAACCGTATGTGTGTGCTCTGAGCGCCATTCAGTAATAATGTGCGCTCAGATCTGAGCTATCTGGGGATATGTTGAATGGCTGCACAGTTATATGTTGATTCTGAAAATGTAAGTTTTATGTGAATGTGATGCATACTTTTCAAGTTATGAATAATGTGGAAAAATTGTATTTCTCTGCTTGTTATAATTACATTACCCATTGTGTAAGGTAATTGTATCACAGGCAGAGTGGAGGATTTTGTGTGGGAGTGTCTGAGTGTGTTGTATGTGTTTATTGGTTGTGTTCCAAAACCCTGTGGGTGATACTAATGTGTAAGAATGTGTACATAAGCACAATAAACCCACAGCTCTGGCTGTGTACTGCTTGACCCTCAACACGGAGCTTTGTCTCGTTCTTGGGGGGATTTATTGTATGCTGTTCCAGTTCGACTGCTAAGAGTGTAAACCTATACGTATGGTTTTTCCTATTCAGCTGTTTACGGCATTCATATGGTTTCCTGTTCGGCGGATTGGTGTTCTGCAGTAGCTGTGCCTGTGTCTCTGGAAGGGAAGATCTACTAAACAGCGCTTTAACCCTTTTTTGCTGAGGGTGCCGTTACAGATATGCACCTTCATTTTCAATCAGAATTTGTCTAAAGTGTTGCATGTGCGCAATTTATTTGATATGTGGAGGTCTCTCCAACCATCACTTCAAGATAATTCTTTTTATTAATGCCCTCATCTCACTTGCACTAGATTTGATCTGTATCTTGTAGACAGTAATGCATTCTTGTACCTCCTTAAACAGACAACAGTATCTGTGTTTTGCATACGTTGTCAATGATTGACATTGTGAATGATGTTCTGCTTTTCCTTACCCAACGTGCTTCTTCATTACCCAGCTAATGACAATTTTGAAATATGGCTTAATCTCCTTTTATAAAAAAAATACTAGTAAGACTAATATGTTGCCAATAAACATGTCCCAAAGTGACTTGAACATAATGCGAGAAACTGAAAAGTTATAATTATACTACGTATTTTGGGGTTCAGTTAGCTAGAACATTTTCCCTTCTCCTTACAGAAAACCATAAGATGTTATTAAATACGCTAGACCATCAGCTGCAGCAGTGGCTTAATCTCGAGATATTGTGGATGGGGCAGTATTAACACAACTGAAGAATACTGAGTAAACAGTCCTCCTACCTCCAAGAGCTTGACCTGCTATCTCCTAGTGACACATAAACCTCTGAACCAGTTCCATCTTACTGTATGTATCTACTTAAACATCTGATAACAAATATTTGTAAAATTAATAAGTAGGCAGCAGCAGGACATGTCCTCTTTATATGCATATGTCAAACCATACCTCTATAGACGTACAGCAATAATTGTGTATGTTTATTAAGAAAGGATGATATAGTTTGCTGTAATATGGTTGATTACCATATAGTGGTTCATGACTGACGGCTCTGTGAAATATGCAGAATTTTCTGTTTTCCGAATATATAACAAACATTGTTTAAACCCCCTAATCTGTTACATATGATATAGTGCTAGTTATGTATTTTTCCTAAGCCTCTAATTTGTTCCAATGACTTGTTAAAGAAGGCTCAAAAGATTTAACATTGTCTGTCATTGAGTTAATTTTTGGGGTGGTGACTGCATTAAGGGTGTGTGAAAAAGAGGAAGAAGCAGCTCTGAAAACGCACTGTGTGTGGTCTGAGGTTACAGTGTGCCTTGAGAAGAGAAAGGGATATTTTTGGCTACAACATAACTTTATTCATCAGTGAAAGACCTCCTTATCCACCGCCCATCCTACAGCTTTATGTGGGTATATTGCTACTATCAGCAAAAGCCAGTTTATTTAGCTAAGCAGTTTTAATAGTTAAACAAAATAGTCTCAGGAAAATCTTGAGCCGTTGTGGCTTGCAAGGATAGAGAAAAATGCAATGTTAATATCCTGTGCCTGACCTCAGACTTATTCACTGTGATGTGCATATGAAAAAATGGCATTGATGAGTTATGGGTTGAGAATTAATATAATTGCAAATTAAACATCACAGAGGGCTAAGGGATTGCTCCAAAATTGTGAAATTCAAAAAAGCTATTATCAGTAAAATGTAATCTCATACTATTTGAGTTGTCATCACCATTTTAAAGTTGCTGTCTGTTTTTTTGCCTTTTAAAAAAAAAAAAAAAATTACTTTTAGTTTATGCACGTTACGTCTTATCGGTTGTTTTGTATTGTACCATTATTTAAATTTATGGGCTAATTTATATTTGGGCTTTTCTTCCTAGTAAGACCTTCTTACAACTGCATATGACTTAAGAAATAAATTATGATAGCCCTCAATCGAATTATACAACACCAATGAATATTCTGATATTGAACTGCCACTGGCAGTAAAGCCTATAAACAAAAATATATATATTTGTGCAACCTAAATTTAGCACATAGGAAAAACAAGTACTAATGAGAAGAGTGTTATTATTCAGCTAAAAATATGACATGGTCTTCTTTAAAGTCTTTTTTTCTTAAAGGTATGTTGCTCACGTAAGCTTTTCTTCTCAAAGACTCGTAAGAACTGAGAATACACAATAAGAGTCACCGCTCTTCTCCCATTCATTTGTTTTTAAGTAATTGCTAGGATTCATATTAACACAGTTCCCATAACTCTGCACCTGAATTACTAAGTGTATTAAATCAGTCAAGCAACAACAAACCCAATACACTAACATCATTTTTTTTTTTTTTTTTCTATATTTAGTTACTACTTACAGTTTACCTATTGGAGGATATTACATTTCACTAACATGGCCAACATTTGTGTGCATCTCTGTACTTATGTTTACATGTTTTTCTGTCTATTCCTATTCTCCCTTCCATGCTAACTTGAATGAAAGTACCCTAAGTGCATTTTTTATGGATATAATTTTTAAATATTTTATTATAATTATATATATGAAATTTCAGTAAATTAAAAATGAAGCTGCTGGGCCCTTCGTGTTTACATGCACAAAAATGCTCTTTTTTTTCCTCCTTAATCAGTACTTGACATTGCTCTTGCCAGCAGTTAGGTTAGATAGTTATTAATTTGGATATGGAACCACTTTCCAGACTACTGCAAAGCTTCTCAACCTCAGCACTAGAAAAAAACAACAACTTTCAAACACTAGAAAATCAAGATCGACTGTACCTTAAGCAGAACCGTAAAGGTTAATGTGCGAGTGATTTTACTTGGCAGAAATATAGCAATCAGAGTAGTAAATAATGACACAGGTCATGTATAGTCCAAGGTTTTAAGGCAGGTAGAAGGTAAGACAATGAGGTGTAAGTGGTTGTCATCTTTCATCAGCATGTGTGTTTCTAAGTTGAGCAACCTTAATGCACAGTAAAATATATGGAAAAAAAGTACTTGGAATCAATCTTCACTTTTTAAATGGGCTCTTTATTTGTGTTGCTGGTAAACTGTCAAAAACAATTAGCAAATAACATTGTAATTGGTTTCCTTAAAAAAATGCAATCATAAAGCAAACATTTGGAATTTTGAGAGAATGCATTCTTTTCATCATATACTTCATTTGAGGGTAGTTCATATTAATCAAATATTTTCTTAGGCTGTCTTGGGAGTAAGGCAGGCATTTTCCTGGTTGGAGACCTTATTTATCACACAGTGATATTACATAATTTAAAAGTGAATTGCCACTTATACAAAAAATAATTTATAATGTAGGACTTTTCCTGTGGATTGGAGCAAAGACACTGTTATAGCTATATAGTTTGTGCATTTTAAAAGTCTTCATATAGACTCCGTTTAGCTGTGGTGCTTTTTAGATGGCTAGACAACGAGAACATTTGCTCAATTCCTCCTTTAAAAATTACTGTAATTTAATACTTAGATTTTTTTTTCTGCCCATGGAAATAGGTTCCAACATTTTGGTTGTTTTTATAGTAGGCTACATAATGAAATAGAGATTAAAACTATATTATTTTGCAATAAAAATGTTTAACAAACAATAAAAGCACAAAATTGTTCAATACTGGACACTTTAGCCATTGCGGCTGCTTCATCTCATTGAAGAGTTTATAGTCTTTAGAGTAGGATGTGCATGGGCCAAAGAATTCGGTTCGGACTTCTGAAATTCGCCACTTTGGCAATTCGGTTCGGCACTTCCAAAATCCGGCACTTCAGTTCGGCACTTCCAAAATTTGGCACTTCGGTTCGGTTCGGTTTGGCACTTCCGAAATTCTGGACTTTGGCAATTTAGGAATTCGGGACTTCGGCAGTTTCCTAACCCTACCCTTAACCCAACTCTACCCCTAAACCCA